AGCTGGTTCACATGCATCTAACTGTTCTTGTGTGTGAGTAAATGAGAATTTAAAGCTCTGTAAAGAAAATAAAACAAGTATCAAGATGGCTCAGACTGAAAGCTTTGTATTTGCTGATGTCAAATTAAGAGAAACAGCTCTTTGTCATAACTGCTGCTACCTAAATTCTGGTTGCTATGTATCAACTAATGTTTAGGTGAACGTCTCAAGTGAACATGCAATGTTATTACAACAGTGAATAACAAAGACATCGTCACACCCGCTATTAAAACCTTACAATTTTTTCGGCAGAGATTATTCCATTTTTGATTTATAACTTTCACTGAATTTCATCTTAACAAATACCCTAACATTATCCCTAAAAATCATAAAAAATCATCACAATTTACCTTTCTATAGTTTCACAGAATAAAACAACCACTTCTTGTTGAGTTTCATAATCTCTTGCTGTTTTTACTGGCACCATTGCACTGACATAGCTATATTCAAAATCAGCAAAAATCTGGTCAAATTTTATCAACACATCTTTAATCTGAAATGAGACAAAAAATTATTTATAAATAATTACTGGTAATAATGCATCAGTAAATGATGCACTATGATTTACCACATTACCACAATAATGAATTCCTGCATCACCATAGTGTACAAGCCATAGACAAGTGATACTAACTTGAGTAGCATCTTGAATAGGACAGCAGTAAAAATCAACTTGCGTCTTTGTAACATAAAAAATACATTGCCTCTGTACCAAGTTTGAATAAATTTAGTAACTGCATTCTCAAGTTATGAGCAAAAATGATCAAAAACAAGTATGATAAAACCATTTAATTTCACTATTTTGATGTTTTGAACAATTTCACTGCATCTTAATTTGGCGGAGAAACAAAAAAAAAATCCATTGTTATTTTACATTTTCAAGTAAATTTAGTGAATTTTATAAACAAAATTAAAAACTTATGAATAATTATAGCATTTACTGTATTTCTGACATACAAAATGGCTGTTAGAAAAGTAATGGATGTGCCTGACTAAACCATCTGGTGTTAGCAATACTCCAAGTTTAAAAGAATTGGTAATTGCTCAGACATAATTCTCTACGCATATAAAACATAAATGTTTGGGCCATTTTTGGATCAAATATTGCCGCCAACTTTGGGGCTATTCTCCTGGCGATCAACTCTCACCTTATCTGTGTAAACATTTAAATTTCTTAAACACTGATCTCTAAGAGTTGTCCTCAAGACATCTAAACTTTTAATAACATCCTTAGCAAGCGGTCGTAGAGTGGCACTTTCTTCCTCCCGATTCATGATTGTAGAACCAGCAGCTAGACACTGAAAAAAGAAAAATTAACCATGCTATCATTGCAAGTGGTAACAATATGGATAAGCCTTAAGTATCTCATTTTTAATTTTTAAATCTGCTATCTTGATAATGAACTGGAATCATTGAGTAAATTGTCCCATTAATATAGGCATTATAGACTGCTTGAAATGAACTAAAGCATCTTTTTGGAAAACAATATAATAGAATAAATACGGTAATTTGCACAATCGTGAATCAAATTAAACTTGAAGTACAACTCCAATAGAATAAATCAAATATTGCATTTACAGACACTCAAATCAAAAATGAGTTTGTCACCCACCCCCCCAAAAAAAAAAAAAAATGTGCGCACTCTAAACAAATCATCTGTTGTTGCAGTTTTTTCAATTCATTTTGGCAATCCTTCGACAGATTATACCAACAAGACACCAACAAGTCCTTTGCTCACTCTACAACATTACATGAATTCCTATAATGCACTTTACCTCAGCACCAAACCAGAGCTGCCCTGCCAGTGTATCTTGAAGTACATCATCAGGAAACTTAACTCTAAAGTCTCTATTGGCTGTGTGCATTGGAATCGCTATAGCCATTATTTGTGTTATTATTCCTACAAATAAACAAACAGTACACACAGAATGTATCAAGCATATCAAAAACCCTCAAATGCTTTACTAGACATAAAGTCTAAACACGATGTGATCACATCAGCCACTTTTACACGTTGGTCAACATTTCCACTGTATTGTGTTCATGTATACTTGTAAATGATGATTTTGTCATATTCGTGATGACAAAATTTCATTAAAGAAATGTTTTTATTGCCAGTGCCACACCATTGATTGTTCATTCATTTTTACATATGCAGGTTGCTACACTTAATATTTTACAGATGATATCAGCCCACAAGTAGTATCTTTACCTAGTACTTTATCTTGACAACTTCTGAGTTGATTGACAAGTGATGTACATCTTTCTGGGTCCTTTCTCCCATCAAAGCTATCTAGCTCCAAGGCAACCACATTCAAATCTTCATCAGCATAGTAAAATTGGGCTAATAAGTGAGTGTCAGTTTTCTGAAATAAAGAGAAAACTTGCATATATAGAAAAGATCTACATGTACATCTGTTGGGTTGGACCAAAGACACTAGAGAAGAGGGACGAGCAACTCGGTCTTTCCTTTGATGTAGCGTCTGTTGGGATCTGTTTCAATCAATCTTTAATCCAATTAGATTAAATCATGTCTTATCTCAGATTGTTTATTTGCACTTCAACGAAATCTCTCGATTTGCGTTAAAAAGAGTAATTTGAGAATAAGCAAATTAGACCTCTTTTCCCGCAAACTGTGTGGTACAGCTTGTTAACAAGTTGGCTTCTTTGCATGTTATTGAATGTCCAGGAAGTTACAACAATGAAATTGAAGATGTTTTCAAACATATTTCAGATGATGATTGGACAAGTGAAGACGGGGATGACAGTGATTTTGATTTGGGAGAAACTAGTTCAAATAACACGAAGGCAAAAAAGGTGGGTAGTTGCAACCTCAAACTATGAGAAACTTAGAATCATTATTTTTGCTCATTCTATTTTAAATAAAAAACACGACATCGGTGAAATTTATGAATAAAAATAACAGAAACATTAATTGAAAGAAAAATTTTTGTCCCACTCCCAAGAAAAAAATTGACAAAGTCAATTGATGGAATGTTATCTTGAAACAAACTAATTGTTTACGCTTTCCAATTTGACAAAGAAATTAAGAATCACACTTTTTGCAAGTAGAATGTTAAATAAAAAAACATGATATCAGCAAATTTTATGAACTATACTATATAATTAAACGTTCGTTAAAAAGAAAATTTGCCTGAAAAAAAGAACCACAAAAACATGGACAAAGTCAATCGATGGTCTGCCATCTTGAAACCAGTTCATTGTTTACACTTTTCAAATTTTGCAAATAGAATGTTAAATAAAAATATGATATCAGTAAATTTTATGAACTATGCTAACAAAAAAGTTTAATTAAACATTCATTAAAAGAAATATTTGGCTGAAAAAGGAACCCACAAAAAACATGGACAAGGTTGATTTCTGTCTTGGCCACTCATTCATTCACGGTGTAGAAAGAGAAATTGATCATGTGACAAGGCAGGATGTCAAACATCTATTTGTATAGCGGCCCCTTCCCCCAAGAGATATTGCATGGAACTTCCATTACTTTTCTTTCATGTTTGTCGCAACTGCATGTAAGACACTGTCAACATTTATAACTTCAGTGGTTTAAAATTTTAAGCCAAACCCAGGACTAGTACAAGTCACCAGCCAAGGTTAGTTTATTTGGTCATCGCCTCACCACTACATCTTGGCAGATTCTATACAGCTTATTTAAAAGTTTATTTAGAGCCACCTCATTTTCTTCATTGCATTGTCCAATCAAATAACTCGTTATATCTGTATCACACACTAAATAGATTCATCTACAGTAGAAGATGGCTTCCCAGCCAGAGATTAAGTCCTGACAATCCTGAAGTGATCAATGATCAGTTTATTCTCAAAATTGTTTTCCCCATTTTTCACTATACCTTACACCAAAGCCATACAGTTGTGAGTGAAGATTTCAGAAATTAAACAAGACTGTTCATTTGATTACTAAGCAATCTGAAAAATGCAAAAGGAAATCAACTTGCTCATTACCATGGAAACTGAAATTATGCACATACATATGTATGACGACCAATGCATTTTTTAGCTTAGAAACATCAAATTTATTTTTAAAAGCTTTGAGGGAAATCAGTCATCAATTTTAAGAATAGTGAAAACAGCTTGTCAATATCATATTTTTTATATGAAAGTCAAAAAAAAACACGACTGACTATATCCTGTTAAGGTGTCCTTGTTATAAAAAAAACAGCATTCATTATTAATATGTACATGTATAACGCTCCTTGGAGAATTTTCCTTTCAAATCTCCATGGAGACCAGTGTCTAATATTATTCTAAGTTAATTGTGTAGTTACACATCAGTCACAACCTATGGTTGGAATGATCTGGTATGACAAGTATACAAATGACACTATAATTGCACAGACATCAGATGAAAGTGCAAAAAACAAATATATTCTGATGAACCACTCAGCAAATATATTTATATATTAGAGCGGGAATGATTTTGACAGATGTTTTTGCTTTCATAGAAACAAATTAAGAACTTCAATTGTGCATCCTCAGAAAGTGTCTTAAAACAATGAGACACTAATCAACTACTAGTAATGTATTACTTGTATGCTACTTCTACATTCATGACCGACATGATGTGTGTAATTATAACAATTAAGAGACAATAGTCCTGGTCGGCAACAACTCTGTAGAGGGTGTAGAGTGCTGGTCAGGACCAACCACCGTGGTGAGATGTATGCTCAACCCGAAAAGAGCACCAAATGTACAAAGCACAACAAAACAAGTCAGCCATTTTGGATCACAATGCTCATCCTAAAAGCACCACTAGAATTTGTATATGTACAAAGCATCAATAACAAACCAGTCAGACATCTTGGATCATAATGTGCATCCTCATAAGAGCATGACTATGAGTTGTATATGAAACATAGCATCAACCACAAAACCAAGCAGCCATCTTGGATCACAATGCTCATCCTAAAAGCACCACTAGAATTTGTATATGAAACAAAGCATCAACAAAACAGTCAGCCATCTTGGATCCTAGTTGCTCACACAGATAAATACAAAGAAACTACTGACTGAGGCAACCATATGTATACATATTTTCCCCTCAGGATTGCTAATCTGCTCCTATGCACATTCTGGCATTGTTTCTCCCTCCCTCAGGCAGTTCAAATTGTAATGACAACAAGTGGCCCTTGATCATTAAACATGAAATAGTATAATCTTTCTAAAATAACAATTCATTAATTAGTAAACAACAGTAAATCATAATTGATTAAATACTATGTTTTTAACAATAATTGTAACTATTAATGTTTTTTACTATTTAGATTTTTAGATTTCAATAAAACATTTTCTGTGTCATTAGTGTCAATTTGTAACAGTCGTCACCAAAATTTGGACATTGAAAGCCTAACACACACATGTATATGCTAAATACCAACACTGTAGAAATTGATGGTCAATAGGTTGTGTCCATTCCCAATTTCTCGATTTTATGCCTACATTCAATGATGGGATGAAAAACTCATAACTAATACTTTCAGTTACATTATAAATGACTTTTAATGCCAGAAACCTGTTACCCAAAGAAATGCTACCTTATGTTATATAATATTGAAAAATCCAATCTTAGATCCAGGTTAATCTGAGTTAGTCATGTTAAAACAATATTATTTTTATGTAATTTAGATGATGTTTGGGAATCACAAACTGTCAATAACGTAAATGTATTTTTGCGCATTTTTAAGAAAAAAATTAAACAAGTTCTATATTCTGATTGGTTCAGCCAGGTATGTACTTTAGAGAAACTGACATTTTATAGGGAATTTAAATTTTCTTTGGAACCTGAAAAGTATTTATTTTGTGTGAAAGTGCATTCTCATGTTCAAATGTTAGCTCGACTCCGCTGTTCATGCCACTATCTTCGTATTGAGACAGATAGAAAAAATAATGTAGATAGGAGTGAACGCATTTGCTTGCTTTGTAACAGTAACAACATTGAAAATGAATACCAGTTTTTACTTATTTGTTCCTTTTTTGTTAATTTAAGAATAAAATATGTTCTTGCTAACTTTGTTAATCCCCCAACAGTCAGTAAATATTACAAATTAATGGGTACAAAAAATACAGATCTTCTTCAAAGACTGGGAGCCTTTTTACTTTTCACGCAATGAAATTGCGAAAAGAGCTACAAGTATTGTCAATTGTTTAAAAATTGTAATTTTATTTTCAAATATAAATAATGTATGTAGATATTATGGGCAGATGGCCTTCTATTATAAATAAAGACCATATATATTATATTATATTATATTACTTACATTGCACTACCACAGAGAAGCTGCAGGTTGCACAGTTGCCAGAAGAATCGGTGCATGTGCATGTCACGATTGTTACCCCCTCCGGAAAATCTGAGCCGTTGGCACGCGAGCATGTAACACCAATATTTTCCTTGGAATTATCTCGGACTATTAGTCTTGGCCAATACACTGTAGCTGTTGGAGCATGCGCGTTAATGACGATGTCACTCGGGCACTTTATAGAAGGCGCTGTGTGATCTTCGTCTGAAACGAGAAAAAAGAAAACTTTCTTAGCTTAGTGGAGGAGCACATCAAGATTTGATTCCACGAATAGTACTGAAATACACCTATTAGTCGCGCCCTCTAGCGGGTAAGAGTTTCAGTGACGTCAACATGGCGCCAGCAATGTCGACCAAATAGACAGCTTCGTTGTGGTGGTCGTTCATTCATTTACGTCGCGATCGAGAATAAGAAAGAACCTCTCAAAATTCACCGAAACTCATTTTTCAAGGGAATCTCAACGAGATTGTTCAGTGATTCACAACACGTCTTACGCAAAACATCCTCAATGACACACATAAGTGGTACTGCTGTTAGCCCTAGTGTAGCAATCAATGGTAACTTGGTAACACTTCACAACAATTTCTGTTGAACAAATTCTGCCGATGAGTATTCACCAAATATTTCTCTCCATGAAAACTCCTAGCCAAAAACCCAAAGCGAGTATACAGGGAGATTTGGGCCAGTGCGTATACAGTATATGGAGTGAACTGGGCAAAATAGAGGTTGCGTTTTGTGAATCGACAAGCGACCACGTTCACGCGCGATCCACTGCCAGCATTGCAGAATACATTTGTTTGGCAAAGTCTGCGTAATTATGTATGTAAAATTATTTCTTCTTGCGTTTCCCTTTCGGACACAACATACCCAAAGACCGCAATGTTTTTCAGTGTGCGCCACGTCCGAGTCCGTATCGCAAACAAAACATTGTGTCGATTTTAGTTGACATAATTATTTAACCTTATTGTACTGTTATTTACGGTTGATGCCAACTTCCAAACACAGAAAAAATGTTGTATAAATTAAAACTATCTTTTGTCCAATCAAAATCGTGCATTTACAGTCGTGACACACGTGTTCTTACCTTGTTGATGAGTCCATGCATTTAAATCGAACCCCTCAATAGAATGACAGTTAACAAATCCACCACTAACACTAGGCATCAAGAACACATCTTGTTGAAGCACGTCTATGTTTGTATTGTCACATATGATACGAGCAAGTGAGGTCTTCTTTATCTCTGCTACTTGATTTTCTGAAAAGTATCCATCATTCTCATACCAAAATCTGCAATAAAAATTTCGAGAAATTACAACAATTCGTAATAATCATGGCTAGAAAACTGTGAAGCCGCTCATTTCAATCTAGTTTTTGTTCTAATATATTAAGACTGCGACGCAAAATAAAAAAAAATACTGAAAAATATTACTAATAATTTCTAAGAAATATACGCGAAAAAAAAAGTGTCATATTAACCATTTTATCCAAATAAGGGGTTTTCTGTTGTTTCAGGTGTATAACAGGTGTATAATTTAAAAACATCTACATAGTGACTCGTGTCATCCTACCTGTCTCCATTTCTTGTTTTATTAAATTGTCTCGCCAGTATACAGTTGAAAGTTGGTCCCACCACACTGCCTTCCAGGGGATCTTCTGCCAATGCACCAATAAATAGATCGATGTTCCCGGGGTGGCCGTAGAGATCTTGCAGCGTGTGACGGACGTAATCATCTGACATTTCATTCTTCAGCTTGTCAAATGTATCAGCTGCAACAAGCCCGCACATATCACGCCAAACAGTGTAACCTGGCAAGGCATGGTCACGACCTCGTTGAATATTTAAAGACATCAAGTCCAATGCTATAGAGTTGGATAATTCAAAGAGATGTTCAGTCAGCTCGTCTGTCATTATTTCACCCGGATTGAGATCCTTGGCAGCTGTAGCAAAGAATCCTCTAATAACTGGGTCTATACCACCTTCTTCAACAATTCTCCAAGGTTGGAAGAATGCACGGTGTAGTGGTAGATGACCTTCTGAAGTTTCGTTAAAATTCTCGTCAAGTCTTGAGATAAATGGTTTCACTGTTGCATGGCCAAATCTAAACGCGGCCGTGGCAAATACATTAGCTATAGCGGCATTAGTGTCTGGGTCATAGCCGTTGTACACACCCATGGATTCCATACCAACGTCACCGATAATCTTAGGTAGATAGTGATCATATGTAATATGCTGTAATGTAGCACCCACGATTTTACGTGCTTCCTGATATAGTTGTTCATCGTCCCAGTGTGGATTGATCTGTGATAAGATATTACTGATGCGATTGTGTTCACGCAGAAAGAGGGTGTGCATAGAAGTGAGACCAGTCAGTTCATTGGCCCGAGTATCACCTGCGAGAAAGCATGGTACATCATTCATGTTATCGTCACTCAGACATGCCATTGGAGAATTAGGGTCAAAAGGCAGCAGTGGTCGTCCAGTTGCTGTCTCATTATGTCCAACTCTCATGCCCCCTTTACCATCAAAAGCTCTCAAATTGTCAGCCTTGTTCTGTTCGCTTCCATAAACTTGTGATGCATCAATATAGGATGTGATTGCGTTTGTCTGTTCTCGTGAAAGCCATACACTACCTGTCCCACACACTGCACTGGATCGTATAAACTCGGTACAGTTTACGCCATGGATGCGTGGATCGTCATCAGGGACGAGAAGAGGGAAACAGGGAGGCTTGTTATCGCACGATGCACTGCAGGGTTGACCGTCTTTAAAAGAAACTGAACTAGGACTCTGAGGTGTCAAATCCGTGTCGTGGTCTAGAAACTGTCCAAACAAACTGACCAAATCGGTTAAGTGAAGGCTATGGGAGATTGTGTAAGTGCGTCCCAGTCGATTAGTCACGTCCCGAGGCAATGGTTTAGGGAAACCATTGTATAACATACCAGGATTCCAACCAACTGGTTCAGTGAAACCATTTTCATAAATCGAATCTCTCATACGAGTAAATGGTGTCAATGCTGCTCCTTGGGACGGGTATTTGAAATTATTGCATGTACCATCTATAGTCCGGAACTTAGAATGAAAGCACATGTCATTGCAGGATACAGAGGGCGGTCTGCATCCCAACCTTACCATTAATGTTTCGATGAATGCTGGGTTAATTTTGTGTCCTGCAAATATAAATTTAGAAGTGTACAATACCATAATCTGCAAAAGACGTATTATGAATATCTTAGTAGAATTGGTTGCTGCACTACCTTAAACTACAAGACAATATTCAAAAAAGTTTTACTATAGATGTTCGTAGGGACATCACATGAAATGTCTGTTTATGATTATTGGATTCTTTGCTTCCTTAACCGAATTATCAGCAGACTATTGCAATAGGTATAAATATCTAAATATCTAAACCATAATAGGCAAGCGATTATTCAAGTATTGTATTTAACTGAATTGATATTTGAAAAGTAAGAAGAAAAAACAAACAAGAAAATGTCATTCAGACAAAGTGGTATGCGTGGACGCCCGATGCACTGTGTAGAAATTTCCTAATGGGAACATCCCATTGAAATGGATTATGTTTTTCAAAATTTCATGTATAGACATAGATGCTATTTCTGATCCAAATAGGTATAAATTCAGGGTATAAATATCTTCAATAACTGAGCTGTACAGGGTGCCTTTTGAATAAAGATTGATCGATATGCATTACCTAAATCCCCGCCCGTTGAATTATTTCGATTACCCCAGCGACATCTTGCATGTAGCCCAGGTAGATATACATGTACGCAGTAAAATAGATGGCGCAACTCCAATAATAACTACACACTGGTTTTTCGCATGCGTACCGAGTTGACAAAAACAATAGCAACAGTTATTCAAAGATTGTATTTTGGTATAAATATTGGTAATGGTTTTGTCAAAAAGATTGGTGCAAAAATGCACACACTTTTAAAGGCTGAGTGGCACCCCGCTAGACGGAGACTACTTCGACAACAAATTGCTCCCTCAGTCGACTGCCGCATCATTCTCCAGGGGGCGCAATTTACAGGACTGTGTAGTGCTCTCGACAGTGGTATAATACGACGGATACACCACACACAATAATTCGTGAAATTATAACGCACAGTCCGAATTCAAAATTATGTCGTTTTCTTTCTACTTCCGTTATTAAGATTTAGTGCTCCACAAGATGAGAAAAATTGGATCGCTGGACAATTCTTGTGAACAAACAGCTAGACATTTATAGAAATTAACATAGGATAGGCAGTCCCGTGTAAAAAAAAACAAAACAAAAAAATATGCAACCAACAAGAGTTTGTATTTATAATGACATTTCCTTCGGTACGTAGGATAAGCAGGAAATAGATGTTTACATGGTCCCTAGAAGGCGCTCTCCGCATACCGAAATGGTTTGTGTGTCACCATGGTGTTACAGAGTTACGTCAGTCTACGCGTTGCCACGTAGCATTTAGCAGCTTTGTGTTCTACACTCGTTTCATTCAGTTTTAATTCCAAGTATTTTCGAAGTTTAAATACAATTGTTTATTGCAGTAAGCATATTCGTAGACGTACAACTCCATTACATTCATAGGGGTGAAACCTCCCTCAGGTGCACTCGAGCATGGCAGGTGCAGATTTCCAGACGATTTTAGTCCCGTGATTTTTCGGGTTTTTATTTCAATTTTTTTCTGCACGGTTTATGTGCCGCTTACAGGGGTCGCAGTTTTTACTATTCTATGTAAGATAGTTACTAGTGTTCAATTTCCTCATCTATGTATACGTAGTTACGAGCACGCGAATCTCAACTGTGTAGTAGCAACGGTACTACACTCTGATTACTAGTACCAAGTGTTTGCGTGGTTTTATGGTGTGCCAGTGTAGTAGAGTGTAAGCTAGTCACTGTCTGTTGACTATATCTGTTCATACGTCAAAATCCCAAACAGCGGGCCATAAAAGCCTACCAACAACCATATTTCGAAAGAAAGCAATACAAGAGTCGGGACATCGGCACACATTGTGTAACATGTATTAAAAATGAAATGAAAGTTCTTTCCCACAATGCATCCTGATTTAGTTTGCACTTCAAAAAAAGCTCTTACCTCTGTTGTTTGATCTTAAAATATCAAGCAAAATCTCAAAAACCTCTTTGTTCCTTGAAGCATCAATAATTCTCAGTGTTGGATAGCGGAACAGTTTTAGTAATTGTGCAGGAGTTATGGGCTTGTGCATGTTGCGGATAGCGTTACTGGTTTCAAAGATGGCCCTGTCGACGCCATTAACTGCTTCTCTGAAGCACAACTCAAATACGGCACTTTCTTCGATCGCATTGTCTTCGTCGTCATCATTGGTTCCATACTGTGAAACTGGAAAAAATGACTCAATATAAATCAGTGTATGTAATAAAAAGAATTAATTGTAGCTTTTTATTAAACTTGTATATCTGGTGAAATCGTAGTTTTGTGTGAAAGTCTGAACCAGTAAGATCCCCACATCATTATGCTGAAATAACAATTTCTAAAATATTCACCCCCCCCCCGGGCGCTATACCATCGGTAAGTTCAAATCAGGACAGCGGACCAAGCCAAGAGTGACTTGTGGTTACGTATTATATTCGTGCCTAGCGTATCAGTTCACGTGGAAATGACGAGAGGAATACTGTATTCTCGGTATATCCAGTATATCGCTTACCAACATCATATGGAAACCATACCATAAACAGCAAGATGGCGACCACGGCAATGTGTTTCATGGCTGAAAGGCAAACCAATTGTGTCTTTAATCGGGTGAAAAATATACCAGGCGAGTTAGGTGTTTTGTGAAAATAGCGCCCTCAGTGTGTGAAATTATTACATATTGGCTGATGATTAATGCAAGAAAAGAGTTGTAAGTGGAAATTGTTATCCGTCACTACTTTATTTTGGCAACCAAATAGTTATAGCGGGAGGGTCGTCATCTGCGCACGCGCGGGAATCGAGTTCTAAGCGACGATAACACACGCTAAGAACGCAAAGGCTCATGGGTAAAAGCTTGTTTGTAAACAATGACACGCTATGGTCACCTGACGCATGCGCAGGTGACGACTCACCCGCTTTGATTATCGTCAATAATTAAAGTGAATTTAATACATGTGCTATACCATAGACATTGAAAATACCGTAGCGAGTATCTCAGCACCCTAAGCGTACATAGGTCGTCATCGTCGTGGTATCCGAGTTCAACGATACTAGGATAGCGAAGGGATATGATACGCAACAGTTTGTGAACTATGCTATTGTTACCATGACTTCTGCAGACTATTTGGTCAACAGATAACACTTGACGGGTTTATGGGGGGATTACTGGACGTGAATATTTAATTAGTCATGATCGGACGTTCTCGGATGAGTTCGGTCGTTATTACAAAGCAGGGTGAGGGACGAAAAAAACTAAAACTATTTAACTAAATTTCGGCGTCCGCAGGAAAAGATTTTACGAAAAAAAATGGAATTTACCGGAGCTCAAATTTAACGCGTCGTTTATCCAAAGCACGTGTTGTCTATGAAAAACGTGATTGTGAATTTGGCCATGGGAGCTCGAACTTCAATTCAAGCTTGCTGGAAAGTACATGGAAAACAAACACTATATATCGGTGGTAATTTTATCGTCTGCGGCCAAGTATTTTATTTTAAAATCAATTTCTTGTGAGCAATGTTTTCGACATTACGAGAACCACATACATTGTAATAACTTGCTGAAACCCCGTCCGATTTCCATGACTCAAACGCAGACCCGTAGAACTGACGACACTCTTCCGTAATTACCGCTACGCGCATGTTCACCGACTTTTGACGTCAACTGCGCAGAACAAAAATGATCGTCACACCTTAGGAAGGCGGTGACGGCTGAATAATCAGTGTGACGGCAGCCGGCAGAAGTCATCGACATGAAAGGCGCGTAAACACAAAAGAATAATCAGCTGAAAACAAAAGACTCAAGTAGGATTAAAACCAGTTCAGTCTCCTTTTTTTAGCTCCATGGTTTACGTAATACCACGGTTTTCAGTTTTGGAGTTACGAAATGCCTATGTAGCTCACGTGAAGGCTAAACAAACGCGTACTTGAAAACAGGCGAAGTTTACAGATGACGTTAGCACAGGGGATTTACATTTTCGTTTACTCAAACTGTGATTGACAGGCATTTTGCATACATTAATAATAATAATAATAATAATTAATATTTTTTTAGCCGCCATGAATTTTACTTGTCGCGGCACGTTTTGACCGAAAACAACATTTATATATCAAAAGCCAAACCAGATGAGTGTAATCGCTAGCGTACATATTCATGCCTCCGTAGAAATGTATTTGGAATCACAGCTTGATCTCTAAACATCGTAAATGGCACATTTCCCGGAGCTCACGCCACGATGTGAGCGGCTCGATTCGAATTAGCATACTAATTGCGATGGCCATTATGCCCCAATTTATAGTATCGGTTATTATACTACCTTCCGTGGTTATACGCTATACCGGCACCTTTCCTAAGAAATGTATTGTGCGTGTGGAAAGCCACCTTGAATTTTCAAGGTGAATGTTCCGACAAAGCACTCCACCATGTGAGGGAGGAATGTCCGAGCGGAACAACACCGTGCAGGCGGACGATGGTGGAAAGCCACCATTACAGCGAATTCTGCATTTAGTATCTAGAGATAGAGAAGACTGTGATATAAGATTTGTACAAATTCAGCTCAACTGAGTTCCCACGTAACAACCTCAGACCACAAAAGAACAACCCACCCACTGTGCGTAAGTACTACAGTGTGCGTGCAGCTGATAGATTATTGATCCAGAATCTATGATTAGACAAAACTCGAAGTTAAACAATAAAGACCCTAAGTTACAGAACAAGAACACAATAATGACATCTCCACTAGTATATAGCGAACTTACCTTATGAGTAGCGCTGCCTGCGTCTTTCTGGCCTTGTCGATGGCACAGTCCCTCTATCACTGTGTCGATGGCAATGCGCGTTTAAATGGTAACCAGGCAAATATTTCACACATATCTAAATGCATTATATAACACCTAATCAAATGTGTTATTGTACCACGGCATCTATATTACCACCCCCCAAACATTGCCAGGACCAATGACAAAACAAGAAAAGACAATGCTTTCCTAAATCTTCTTCAAACTCCTAAAAGGGAGCACCCTGGCATTATATAATGTTACCGAGCCTCCGTGTGTCAGTAGTGTCGCCCCTTCATTGGCCAATCTGCTTAAGGTAGCGAGAATGGAAAAAAAAACAAAAAAAACATTTGTTTTCCTGTAAATTATTTATTCCTGGGATAAATCCGCGTATAATTACATGCACACAATATGTGACTCGAACGTTTTTAGTTTTAATTACTAGTAAACAAATCTTACTTTCAAAGGTTCTTGATTTGAATCTTTGAGTCTTTTGTTGGACAGCTAGCAGCTTCAACTTTCTCTATTTGAAAACAAAACCAGTTACGTAATAACATGGAGGTAAAAAAAGAAGGAACACCGACGCCTATTGTTTCCTTCGTGTACTATGATAGTTGGCGATTGTTTGCCAAGCAAACAATGCGCTGTCCGTTTTCCTGTTATCTGCTTAATCCCTTAATGGGGATTGAGTGGCTCAGAATCTTTCGACAAACTTCGCCAATCATCCGAATGACATGCACATGTGCAGAACCAGAGAAACGAACATGGCGTCGGGCGTCGCACGAGTTCCTATCGAAATTTCTGATATAGATTTTTCTGCGGAAGAATGGGCAGACTTTGCAGTAGTTGAGAATGACCTGGCTATTTTTCATCAGTCATTTTGTATATATAGAAAGCATGATTGTTTTTTTTGTTACCCCCATGGTAATACGTAATTTTAGTGTGACCGTGTGTATGGATGTACATAATTACATTCCAGATCTAACAATTGTCGCAAATCATCTACTCCATTGGCTTAGACGATTCACACGACATCGAACGGTGAACGCGTCTGAGTTTTGAAATATAATGGAAATTTTCACGGAGTTTGTCACCCATCAAAGGTGTTAACTGGCTGATAATTACCTGGCTGGAAAGCGCGTATACGGACACTTAAAACAATAAACTGGTTGTCCACGTATTCGGAGCACATTTACATACTGTGGAGACTGTTAATCTGACCTAATTAGACACCCACTGCTGTTGCCACACCCACAGTTATTTTAACCAATCACATCCCGGTGTTACTATTAGTAGTTTGTTTGTTGTTTCATTGTAACTTGCATGTAATCTAGTGAAGCGAATAAACAGTTGAGTTATTGTTACCGCACGGTAAACTTGTCTTCTCGATCTCTCTATTCCGGGTTTCTACCCGCAACCGACTCAACTCACGTGCCCATGTGCACACATACGTTTAGTATTACTCAATGTACCCTCAGAACACTAAAATAACATAATACTATATTGTGTAATAGAAGTCCTGTGATTTTGATAAGTTCCGACGATTATGTAAATTAATATCCACTTCATCTGTTGAATGTGTTCCTCTAAGGTCGACGACCTTCCTGAATTTAGGATATAATGGGACAGAGACAGTGGCAATGGCCTGGGAGGTAATAATGTCACAATGTTCTGTGTTGAGATATGGTTCTTTTAGAAATCGTGGAGTAGTTGGAAATATATGACTTTGTGGTATTTTAAACACTTACACCTCAATAAAGCTATAATTAAATGCAAGGCCTATTACAGCAATCATAGTATAGTATCTGTGGTATTTTGAACACTTTTAATAAACGTAACCAAGGTTACAAGTTTCGGTCTCATACATGTTTTATATTGAGTACCTGTAATAATAAATCGTACATAACACTCACGGTATATTTGTATTTAACAATTTAGAACATGTACGTTACAACGCAGACATTGGAAAAATAGTCTTGCTAATATTAGCGTGATATGCTAGGATTGTGTGCCGCCCTCGCCGGCCGAGCGCAAAGAGTGTAAATCATGTGACCTTATCAGGCTATGCTAATGTGTATTAGCATGAAATGTATGTATTTGCGACAGCTTTTACAATGTTTGAAAATAATATATGCCAATTGTAAGTGCAAATTAGCAAGTATCTTAACGGGAAATCAAAATAGCTTTAACACCCCTTGCCCGATTGATTTAAATATTCAAACCTCCATTACTCTGTGTTTCTAAACGGAATGAATCCGATCTTCAAAATCAAGGTAGCTAAATGTCCAATGGTTGTACAAACCATGGAGCTAAAAAAAGAGCTCCATGTACAAACTTTGAAGGAGACCCGTCCAGATACGACCAAAATGCCGCTCCGGAATGGCAGAGGATTTTGATGAATTGTTAGCAGTAAAATGATCGTTATTCGGACATCTTGAATTGGGTCCTAAAACGATTGCACGTATATATATATATCCTAAAATGTATGTGAAGTTTGAACGTGAATGGCCAAGGCATATCCGACATACATGTGTGAAAGGACATACTCTGTCTGAACGTGGACTAAAAGGGGGAATGGGAGAGTGGCGGATGTGTTAAGTAAACGGTGAGCTAAATTTAGTGAGCAAACTTCGGTGACGAGAATTTGTCCATGAAAGAGTTGTGAGCTCACAGTTGGGTAGATGAGTTAGCTGCTGTTAAAGCGGCAGGGTCGTCACCTGCGCACGCGCGGGCATTGAGTCCCAATCGACGATAACAACACACACTAAAACACGAAGGCTCATGGGTAGTCACTTGTTTGTAAACAATGACACGCTATGGCCATCTGACGCATGCGCAGGTGACGACTCTCCCACTTTAATATTTACATGTAAATGCCGATGAGTTCTTTAAAGCGTTAAATGTAAATTCATATACTTCTACATTGAACACACGTACAAATGATAACAGTTCAATATAATTATGCAGCGTTGATGTCTTATTATGAGTCTTATTTTAAACACGATAGTTACATTTTGTATTTTCGAAACGCTGTACAAGATTGGATAAACCAGTGCTTCAAATAAGGTTAGACTATTAATTTGAGAGGTGTGTTCTGACTTTGTATCAGTATCTAACTTTAAATTGTTGTGTTATGTTTGTCATTTCATTCTGATTTTAATAATTTAATATTTTAGAAGCGAATGGAGTTGTTTTGAGAAAAAAAACACGTGGTATCACCTGGTACCCCCTGGTACCCCTGTGATCAAATTGGTTTGGTTATAATGACGCATACAAAATGGAAACTTGTTGCTTATTTGTGCAGTGTTTTCAATATTTTATCAATTTGGTTTTTGAAGGCAGCACTGCCACCGTGGGAATAAACAAACAGTGATGACTGCAACCAAAGACACTAGAAAAAGAAGTAAAAAGACAAAGACACTAGTGTCTAGTGTTTCTAGTGTCTTTTTCTAGTGTCTTTGCTGCAACATTGTTTCTATTCTAGAGTGAACACTTTTGTGCGAATTGTTTATCGTCCATAGAGGGCGCTCTTTTATTGCACCGTGCGTGGATTTAGGGGGCGACTCACAGGACATTGCCAGACGAACATTGAGACAAGCAAACATATCAGCCGCGTGTGTTGTGATGATTTTCATTAGGGGCCCAAGCCTGTAGGGCGTGGCCCCTATTCTTATTGTTCGGTTTTTAGGGGCCCAAGCCCAAAGGGCGAGGCCCCTATTATTATCGTTCAGTTTTTTTAGGGGCCCAAGCCCAAAGGGCGAGGCCCCTATTCTTATTTTAGGGGCCCAAGCCCAAAGGGCGAGGCCCCTATTCTTATTGTCCGGTTTTTTCTTTAGGGGCCCAAGCCCGAAGGGCGAGGCCCCTATTCTTATTGTTCGGTTTTTTAGGGGCCCAAGCCCGAAGGGCGAGGCCCCTATTCTTATTGTCCGGTTTTTTAGGGGCCCAAGCCCAAAGGGCGAGGCCCCTATTATTATCGTTCAGTTTTTTTAGGGGCCCAAGCCCAAAGGGCGAGGCCCCTATTATTATCGTTCAGTTTTTTCTTTCTTTCTTTCTTTCTTTCTTCCGTAACTTTTTTCGTCAAGCCGTTTGAGAAAACCGCTGAACGGAGTGGTCTGATATTGCTCTATACTGATAGTCCCTAATGTGAACTGGTGCAACATGCTTTCAGAATTTCGATTGGTCAATTAGTTTGGCAGCCATATTGGATTGAAATAAAACCGGAAGTGGCTGTTTGACCACTTTCTGAGGGTCTAGGCGTCTCGATTTTTTTATGGCATATAGTACAACTCATGTGTAATAGATATCAGCAATAAAAACTTTAGCGGTCATGTGACTTTTCCCGCCATTTTGTTTTCCCTAAAACGGCAAAAAACACTTAAAAATCTTCTTCTTCAGAACCACCAAGCAGAATGCTCTCATATGTAGTATTCATCTTCTATATATGAATCCCATTTATGTTTGCAAAAATTATTGTGATTGGTCACGTGGTTTGGCCGCCATATCGG